GGCCAGGCTGGTCTCGAACTCCTGACCTCAAGTGATCCACCAGCTTCGGCCTCCCAAAGTGCTGGGATTAAAGGCATGAGCCACCGCACCCAGCCAAAAAAATAAATCTTATTCTTCTGATTGCAAGAAAGCACACATCACCCACAGTCCCCAAACACAGAGGTAACTACTATTGTTAACTGTTGATGTATTCCATTATTTTCCCTATGCAAATTTTTCTTTTTTTTTATTTTAAAGCAAAAATGGAACCATACTCTAAATAACAATTTTTATTTTGCTCTTTCCTATTAATATCATGAGGTCATGTACTTTATTTTCATCTTAAACTCATTTCATCAAGGCCGGGCGCGGTGGCTCAAGCCTGTAATCCCAGCACTTTGGGAGGCCGAGACGGGCGGATCACGAGGTCAGGAGATCGAGACCATCCTGGCTAACCCCGTGAAACCCCGTCTCTACTAAAAAATACAAAAAACTAGCCGGGCGAGGTGGCGGGTGCCTGCAGTCCCAGCTACTCGGGAGGCTGAGGCAGGAGAATGGTGTGAACCCGGGAGGCGGAGCTTGCAGTGAGCTGAGATCCAGCCACTGCACTCCAGCCTGGGTGACACAGCGAGACTCCGTCTCAAAAAAAAAAAAAAAAAAAAAAACTCATTTCATCAGATGAATTAAATCTTTATTGTAAAGCTTCCAAAGAGAAATTCCTCATCTGGGTTGAAAATTCAGACGCCAACACTGGCCAGGCAGGTAATGTAAGAAGCATAGGTGTTTTTGGTGGTAAACTGGCAAAGGCATCCTCTTACCCAGCTCCAGCTGATTGTGGTCATGCTGGAATGCTGGCCCATCATTGCCAGATCTTCTGATTTTTTCTAAAAAAGAGAGCTATCTGAAATCTAGATTGTGTTGTAAGAAATATCTTAATGTTTTGCCTCGAAATTTAAAAAGTTCACTTCAAGTCAAACAAAACCTGCCTGCCAGCTACATTCTCTGTCCCAGACAGTGAGTGCTAAGAGCTTCACAAGCATTATCTCATGTATTCTTCACAGCAGTCTTGCTCCTCTAATGGTTATTTATCAGGAACCCACAATGAATAAAAGTCAAAATTCTTGCTCTCTTGGAGCTTCTGTTGGGGAGACAGTTACTGCTCTGGAGAAAAAATAAAGCAGGAAAACAAGATTGGTGGCAGAGGGAGAGTTCACAGCATTCCCACTCTGCTAGGAAGTTATGTGCTAGATGGTCAGATTATGGCTGGGCGCGGAGGCTCATGCCCATAATCCCAACACATTGAGAGGCTGAGGCAGGTGGATCACCTGAGGTCAGGAGTTCGAGACTAGCCTGGCCAACGTGGTGAAATCCCACCTCTACTAAAAATACAAAAATAAGCTGGCACGGTGGCTTGAACCCAGGAGGTGGACGTTGCAGTGAGCCGAGATCATGCCATTGCACTTCAGCCTGAGTGACAAGAGTGAGACTCCATCTCAAAAAACCAACAAACAAAAACAAATTATGCACTACCCAGTCTTTGGGCTACTTCCTCAACCACAGGGAATGACAATGAAAGAATCCTAGAATGTTAGACCCAGAAGCAACCGTCACAATTATTGAGATTAAAAGGTTTGTACATTTTCAAATAGTTCTTAATGGTCTTTTTTTTCTTGAGACGGAGCCTCATTCTGTCACCCAGGCTGGTGTGTAGTGGTGTAATCTCGGCTCACTGCAACCTCCGCCTCCTAGGTTCAAGCAATTCTTCTGCCTCAGCCTCCTGAGTAGCTGGGATTACAGGCACGTGCCACCACGCCCAGCTAATTTTTGTATTTTTAGTAGAGATGGGGTTTCACCATATTGGTCAGGCTGGTCTCGAACTCCTGACCTCATGATCTGCCTGCCTCAGCCGCCGAAAGTGCTGGGGCATAAGCCACCGCACCCGGCTTTAATGGTCTTACTTTATAAAAATCCTTTGATGTCTTCTCATTGCTCATACTTTTGTTTATTTTCTTAATTTTGAAAATAGGTTATACATGAAAATGACAAAATTCAAAAGGATATACAATCTTATATACTTTAAAATATATTTTACTTAATCTAATCAGCCTTGATCATTTATTTACATGTGAGGCATGACAGGAATAAATTGAGGCACAGAGTTAGTACCCAATGGAAGGCCACCCATTGATGGGGAGACCAAACCCCAGTGAGTAAAACCAGACTTTGTCTTTCAGAATTCTTGTGCATAAAAGTAGTTGGGGCTGGGTACGGTGGTTCACGCCTGTAATCCCAGCACTTTGGGAGGCCGAGGTGGGCGGATCACAAGGTTAGGAGATGGAAACGGTGAAACCCCATCTCCACTAAAAAAAAATACAAAAAATTAGCCAGGCGAGGTGGCAGGCGCCTGTAGTCCCAGCTACTCGGGAGGCTGAGGGAGGAGAATGGTGTGAACCCAGGAGGTGGAGCTTGCAGTGAGCCGAGATTGCGCCACTGCACTCTAGCCTGGGCCACAGAGTGAGACTCCGTCTCAAAAAAAAAAAAATCAAACAAAAACAAAAAAGAAGTTGGGTGGATTCACCCTGATGCCACTGGATATTTTTCATTTTTTTCTTTATTTTTTGTATGCCTGCCAGTCCCAGTGAAAGATAAGGATCAGGGTTCAGAAAGCCTAACTATTGTGTCGTTTCCCAGGATGGAGAGCACTATCATTTGGTTCATATTTTTATTAAAATAAGATGAGTGATTCACTCACATTACAGGCAAAGTATCCTTTACCAGGAAACCATACTTTGAAAAACAAAGCTGATGGCTTTAAGAAACAGTAACTGCTAACATCAATTTCCTTTCCCATCAAGTCCCAAAAGAGTCAGACACTCTTCTTTCTCTAGCTGCCTCATTCTCTTCCCGATACGTATCCATATAATTATAGATAGGGTACATTACATATGCCCACAAAAGACAAAACAGCAGGAAAGACAAAGGTGGATTCATCTGAAGAGATGTGTGTGTTTATCTATATCCAGTCTTCTTTCTGGTTCTTGCTGTTTCTGTTCCTTACGTCTGTTTTTTCAGTTGATAGGTAGCCGTAAATCCATCATCATTGGTGGGAGCTAGCGGATTCTGACGAGAAAACAGGCTGTGGTCTTCATAAGCACGCCTACATGCTGGCCACTGCCCTCCCCTGCTCGCACACCCATCAAGAACCAGAGAACTTAGATTGTTGCTTTTTTATTTTTAGTCTGTCTTGGTTCCACTCACCCTCAGTGAGTAAGTAACCCCGTTAGCCACTGCTTCTGTTTATATTTATTTAGAAAAGAAGGAAAACGCATTTTAAGAAAATCAAATGCATAATCTGTTCCACTTCTTATTTATTCTGTGGCTGCTTTGGACAGTGGAAAGCTCAGAGGAAGTATAATAACTTTTATTATTTCTTGTTTTCTGTGGCTTTCTCTCAAGTTCTCATCAGACAGTTTTGCTAATAACATAAAATTTCATCCTAACGATAAGCCTGATTTTAAATTGCAAAGAAAAAGGTAGTAGGGCCAGGAGCAGTGGCTCATGCCTGTAACCCCAGCACTTTGGGAGGCCAAGGCTAGCAAATCACTTGAGGTCAGGAGTTCAAGACCAGCCTGGCCAACATGGTGAAAACCCATCTCTACTAAAAATATAAAAATTAGCCAGGCATGGTGGCACATTCCTGTAATCCCAGCTACATGGGAGGCTGAGGCACGAGAATTGCTTGAACCCACAAGGCAGAGGTTGTAGTGAGCTGAGATTAAACTGCTGCAGCCATCCTGGGTGACAGAGCAAGATTCTGTAAAAAAAAAAAAAAAAGTGGGAAGTATTTTTTATATATGTAAATTAAATATACTTTTCCTCCTCTGTGTCTAGTCCTATTAAAATTGAAGATACAGGCTTATAATGGCTTTAACTATTTATTAATTTTGTTGTCTCTTCTCTATTTTCTTATAGGCATCAGTAGCAAGTCACTTAAAATAGAAAGGGCCTGTCAGTTTGGGGGGAAGCAAGGAAGTTACGAGCCAGATAGACTACGTCTGACCCTGGAGCCACCCTATGACAAAAGGTGATAGAAAGAGATGGAATAGCTAGTGGGAGATTTAAATGTTCACAATAATAATCACTGGCCAGGTGCGATAGCTCACACGTATAATCCCAGTGCTTTGGGAGGCCAAGGCAGAAGGATCATTTGAGGGCAGGAGTTCCAGAGCAGCCTGGGCAACATATCGAGACTCTGTCTCTAGAAAAAATAAAAATGAAAAAATTAGCCAGGCATGATGGTGCATGCCTGTAGTCTAACTACATCCCACCTAGGCTAAGGTAGGAAGAGCGTTTGAACCCAAGGAGTTCCAGGCTGCAGTGAGCTATGATCATGCCACTGCACTCCAGCCTGGGTGACAGAGTGAGACCCTATCTCTAAAAAAATTAAAATAATGGCCAGCATGGTGGCTTACGCCTGTAATCCCAGCACTTTGGGAGGCTGAGGCAGGTGGATTGCTTGAGCTCAGGAGTTTGAGACCAGCCTGAGCAACATGGCAAAACTTTGTCTCTACAAAATATACAAAAATTAGCCAGGCATGGTGGCATGTGACTGTGGTCACAACTATTTGGGGAGCTGAGGTGGGAGGATTGCTTGAGCCCAGGAAGTGGAGGTTGCAGCAAGCCACGTGACGCCACTGCACTCCAGCCTGGGCAACAGAGCAAGACCCTATCTCAAAAAAAGAAAAAAAAGAATGAAATTAAAGAATACACAAAATAATAATAGCAGTTGCAGCTAACATTTACTGGGTTCTCACTGTGGGAATTCACTGTGCCAGGTGTTTTTCATCCATAGACGAAGGAAAAGCAGGCTGAGTTCCCAGAGACTTACAGCAAAAAGAAAAGGACATCATAGGGAGCCAGCCTGTGTAGCCTTTGAATGAGAAAGGCCAGCCTTTGAATGAGAAGGCTTGATCTGATCCAGGAACTACCACTTATGCGGCAATTTTGTCCTTTGCTGAGCCTCATTTTCCATGTCTATAAAAATGGGAATTAGGCCTGGCGCGGTGGCTCAAGCCTGTAATCCCAGCACTTTGGGAGGCTGAGACGGGTGGATCACAAGGTCAGGAGATCGAGACCATCCTGGCTAACACGGTGAAACCCCGTCTCTACTAAAAAAAAAAAATACAAAAAATTAGCCAGGC